ACCATAATAACTCTATTGTGCATAATTGTATTCCTTCTGTGTATACTGCTATATAAATAGCCCTACTCCTAATGCATGTATTTCCATTGCTCATAATCACTCTATTGCCACTTATCATAATCAATCTACTAAGTCCAATTTTGGTGCTCCTAATGCATGCATATCCATTGATCATAATGACCATGCTGCCACTTATCATAATCAATCTGTTGTGCTAATTTTGGTGCTTCTAATGCATGCATTTCCATTGATCATAGTCATTTTGTTGCCACTAATCATAATCAATCTGCTATGTCCAATTTTGGTACTTTTGATACATGCATTTCCCTTGGTCATAATCACTCTGTTGTGTCCAATGTTGATGCATTAGATTCTGATCATCCTGTGTGTCATTAAGCCATTGTTCAGTCCACTCTTAATCCTTGTCTCACTAATATTGATAAATCTAATATGATCACAGCAAGTTGCTTTATTGTTAACAACCAGGCCAACTCTTACATGGTTTGGCATAAAAGGTTAGGTTATCCTAGCTACTCTACGCTTCAAAAAATCATGTCATGCCTTAACAAACCCTTGTCATCATCACATTCTTCATAGCCTCCACATTCTGGCATTTCTTTTTGTGATACTTGTCAATTAGGAAGATGCATCAGAACAGTTTCCATTCCTCCCAATCCCATGAACTTGAACCTCTAGCTCTAGTTCATAGTGATGTTTGGGGTCCTACCCCTGTTTCTTCCATAGAGGGATTCAAGTATGACCTTCAGTTTTTAGATGACTTTAGCATATTTACTTGGGCCTTCCCTTTAAAAACAAAATCTAAAGTAAAGTCTAGCTTTATTAAATTTCATCACCTTGCTGAAAGGCAATTTTGCACCAAATTAAAGTGTCTTCATTTGACCAAGGTGGAGAATACAAAGATCTCATACCTTATCTTACTGAAATTGGAATTCAGTTCAAACACTCTTGTGCCTATGTTCACCAACAAAATGGCCGTAGTGAGAGAAAACATAGGCACATTGTTGAAACAGGCCTCACTTTACTTGCTCATGCATACATGGCCTTGAACTATTGGTGGGGTGCATTTGAAACTGTTGCTTTTTTTATTAATAGAATGCCTACTAAAGTTTTAAAGAATGACACTCTTATTACAAATTATTTCGAAAACAGCCCTCTTATGAGAGTCTCAAGGTGTTTGGTTATTCATGTTTTCCCTATCTTAGGAGTTTTAATAACCATAAGTTCAGCTTTCACTCCTCTAAGTATGTGTTTATAGGGTACAGTCTAGTGCATAAGTGTTACAAATGTTTAAGAAGTGATGGAAAAGTTTTCATTACTCCTACTGTGAGGTTTCATGAAACTGAATTTCCTTTCTTCAATAACCAGTTTCTTACATCCAATAACAGTCCTTCTATTAGTGAGCAAGTTGAAAACACTAGTCCCACTTCACCTACCTTTCCATGATTTATTCTTCCCAATACTCCCTTTCCAACTATTTTTGGTCCCAGTGCAGTAATAAGCTCTCCTCCTAATACAGATTGTTTAATCTCTCTCACGCCAGTCACAAGTTGTACTCCTCGGTCAGTATCTTCCTTACCTGTTCTTCAACCAAGATGTGCTCTTCCCAGTTGTCTTCTTGATGTTGATTTTTCAACTTCACAATTTCCTACTAGCTCAAAGTCACTGCCCACTACTGCCTTAGAGACACTGCCTCCTTTTGCCCAAAATTTTCACCTTATGCTTACATGAGTGAAAACAATGGCTGGTTTGTCAAGAGCAGCCACACCTGTGGTTCCTACTTGGAACTTTCCCACACACAGCCTACCTCACTACAAGTCAACCTATTGTTGAGTCTGAACCTTCTTTAGTGGCTGAAGCTCTTTCTAATCCTACTTGGAAGGCAGCTATGCAAGTAGAATTTGAAGCTCTTATTCGCAATAACACCTAGACACTTGTCCCCTCAACCCCCGTTATGAACATTATTGGCAATAAATGGGTTCTTAGAACCAAATTTAATTATCATGGCTCTCTACAGAAGTACAAAGCTAGGTTAGTAGCAAAAGGGTTTAAACAAACCCTTAGACTAGACTATTTTGAGACATTCAGTCCAGTTATCAAACCATCCACTATTTGGATTATCCTTACTCTAGTAGTCTCTAACTCATGGGACATTCAACAAATTGATGTGAATAATGCATTCCTCAATGGTGTCCTCAATGAAACTATGTATATGAGACAACCTATTGATTTTGAAGCTCCTGATCAGCCCTCTTCAGTTTGCAAGTTAAATAAAGCGATATATGGTCTAAAACAGGCTTCTACGGCCTAGTTTGACAAGTTAAAAACTGCTCTTCAGCCAGAACTCAATTTCAAACTCTGGTCTCTTTGTTTTTAAACAATCTTCTGTGATTATTTATGTGCTTGTGTATGTAGACGATATTATTATTACATGCTTAGATTCATCCTACATTTCTCGTCTGATGAAGGACCTTAATGACGAGTTTGCACTAAAAACCTTGGGTTCATTGAAATATTTTTTGGGTTTAGAAGCTACTAGATCAGCCGCTAGTCTTCATCTCAAGCAAACCAAGTATGCTACTGATTTGCTTATTAAAACTCAAATGCTAAAGGCTCATCCTTGTGCCACTCCCATGGTTATTGGGACCAGATTATGTACTGCTGATAGTCCAGTTTTTTAGCATCCTACCTTATGCTCTCCAATATTTGACACTCACAAGGCCTGACATAAGCTTTGCCACGAACAAGCTTAGTCAGTTTCTACAAGCCCCCACAACTCTCCAATGGCAAGCCTACAATAGAGTCCTGAGATATGCCAAAGGAACTCTTCATTTTGGATTGCAATTCAAGCCAGCCAGCTCTCTACATATTGAGTGTTATGCTAATGTGGATTGGGGCAGCAACCCTGATGACCGAAGATCAACTAGTGGATATTGTGTTTACTTAGGTCCACACTTAATCTGGTGGAGCTCTCGGAAGCAAAAAGTGGTTGCCCTATCTTTTACGGAAGTTGAATATAGAGCTCTTGCCCAAACTGCCATAAAAGTAGCCTGGCTGCAGAGTATGTTTTCTAAATTGGATATGTTTTCTAAATTGGGCATTACATTTCACACAACTCCTATCATTTGGTGTGATAACGTAATGCAGGGGCCCTAGCATCTAATCCGGTCTTTCATACAAGGACAAAACATATTGAAATTGATACGCATTACATTAGGGAACAAGTTTTAGCCAAAAAGTTGATTATGCAATATGTCTCGTCTAAGCTTCAGATTGCAGACCTACTGACCAAGCCACTTTCAGCTGCTCAGTTTGTTGAACAAATACAAAAATTAATAGTGCTTGCTTCTACTGGTTCATCATCCTAATTGGCGTAGTTCTGAAGCTGCTAATGGTGACTTAGTTCTGAAATTTCTTGTGTGTTTGCCTGTGAAGATAATTGATTTTTTTTAAGCTGCATTGTGAAGATCATTGGTTCTCTGTCTCTCACACTGGTGTAGTGGTTTTAACATGAGTTTAGTTTGAAGTATATATGGTTCATTTCTAGAACTGCTCAGTTTAGTTGGAAGTATATATGGTTGATTTCTGGAACTGCTTCTTTTGTTTATGGTTCCTGAAACTACTACTGCAGTTTTTCTTCGCTGCTCCTTTGCTTCTCAAACTGGTGCAATGGCTTTAACTTATTATAGTTGGAATATGTGTGGTTGACCTTGGAACTGTTCCCTGGTTATGATTCCTGAAACTAATACTGTGGTTCCTTGCTCCAAGTACGTTTGGGTACTCTTGAATAGCTTGGACACCTGCTTATTTGTGATTTGCCTACTGGTGAAATTGTGTCAAGGGTTTTGTTCTCTATCAGTTCATCAGATGCTGACTCAATATATGGTATATTCCACTGGGATTGGACTTCAGCATCATTGGCCAAAATGACGTCGTTCTGTCTTTAAGTTCTTAAGAGAGCTGTTCTTTGTTCTCACAAAAACAATGTATAAAAGGGAAAGTATTTCCTTTCCTATAACCTTTTACTCAATATAGAAGACGTTTTCTCTTCTTCTTCTTTTTCTCTTTTCTCTCAAATTGGTTCCATTTTCTGTTATGAAATCACAGATGACCCTCTACTTTAGCCCCCCGCCCCCCCCAACCCAAAAAACAAAATTATTAATTTTTTTTTTTTTTTTTTTTTTTTGTTATCAGAGTGTCCGGCCAGCTTAGTGCACCTGCCTAATCCCCCAATCCTGAACAATGCTTTCAAAACAAGGTAAGTCCTACGGTCCGTGGCCAATAATATTAGCAACCGTTCTTGTGATTCATACCTAAGACCACAGAGGGAGCAAACCTCTTGGCCCCAAGCCTTTACCACTCGGCCAACCCATCGTTGGTTAACAAAATTAATTTTTTCTAGCTTCTTCCTTGGCCTTTTTGTTACTGGTGTTAGCACGGGTGGCTAGCTAGATTGTCTTTTGGGAATCTCATACATGTCAACGGATAGATATTAGCGGCTATTTTATTTTTAAGGATGTTTTTAAATATATGAATCTATTTTTTCAATTATAAATATTACAAATTTGTCGAATTCCATCATTACCTTTACGAAATGTTAAATCTTACAGCCTCTTAGCAGTTCTTTTTGTCTCTTTTCAGTTTGATCTCAAACTTGTCTCTCTTTTTTGTAAATTTCTAAAATAATTGTCCAGAATTTTTCAACATTCCCAACTTAAACATATGTGTGTATAATACATAACCTCATGTTAACCTTTTTATTGTTCGCTTTGAGTATAAACGTTGTCTCAACTCTTGCTGAAATAATTGAGATGAAGAAAGAGGAAACTTTAGCAAACATTAAGCAGAAATTTCAAAAGCCGTTGAGTGTTAATAAAGGATGAAATAATCTTTTATTCATTTCAAATTTTGATTAGAAACAAACAACAAACAATTCGGGAAACAAGAAGTTCTTTTTTTTTTTTTTTTTTTTTTTGGGTCCTTTAATTCCGAAAATCCAATAGCACTAATGAATCAACAGTTTGATAATTAGCTAGAGACTCGCCAATTGCTGAATATTGATTGGATAAGTGTATGATTGAGAAGAATATGTTGCTCTAGCTAATAAAATGTTAGCCATTTCAGTGGGATGAAAAGCATCCCAAAACAGATACTTTCTGCGATCATCACAAGGTCCTTGAAGAGGAAGACAAGTTATTTGCCCATTGTTCTTTCCCACTCCACAGCATCCCTTGTCTAGCACTTCAAATCCTGTAAATTATCATCCAAATTTCCAAACATTTAATATAAAAATGGGTAAGACAAGTATATATAAAGATTGCTCAAAAATATTCCAAAGGCAAGTATATATATGAAAAAGGAAGTAGAATATTATTACCATAACTAGATCCGTTCAAATATAGATCGTTAGAGCTTTGGTAGGAATCAATTAAAACGAACTTTGCTCCAGGAAGTTGACCTCCATTAAATTGATCAACCAGCTTGCGGAGGCCTGAGTTGAAGAGAACAATGGCCTTGTTGACGTTCTCATTGCACCTGGTGTTGTTACCATTGAATCGTGCTAGCTGATATGGTATGCAACCGATTGGTCCAACTAATGTCACAATTACCTTCCGAGCCCCCAAGTTATACAATTGCTGAATAATAAACAAACAATAAAAAATTCAAGTAAATTAATATCAGGTTCAGAACATGATAACCCTGGTTTAACACTCAATTTGATCAAAGTTTAGTCTGAGAATGAACAATTTATGTATGAATTACTTAGAACCTAATAACATTTGTTTGTTCTTCATAAATCAAACTTCATCTGCTTCCCTTATATTTTTTTACTAAAATATATGTCTGACTTCGATCAGTATTTAATTTTGAATTTCTGCCATAAATCTCTTCTGGAAGTTTCAAAAAAAAAAAAAAAAAAAAAAAAAAAAAAAAAAAAAAGAGTTATAATCTTCTATAAACTTTCATAAAATTAAGGGTTAATTACAATAATCTCCCTCGGATTTGATTGAATATAAAAATCTTTTTAAGGTCTCTAAAATAATGAAAATGCATCTGCCGTTAAGTGTTAGATATTAAAATAAAAAGCAAGACAGTAATTACATAAATATTCGTTAACTTATAGTAGTATAAGTTCTAATAATTCATTAATGGTAGAAAAGTTTTTGTTATTTTATTAAATCTTCAGTTGATATGTGTTATTTAATTAAACTTTAGGGGCCAGTCATTAACTCTAAATTAATATATCTGATAATATTATTATTATGAGTCTTCTTAACGTATGTCGACGTGTTCTTTTGTACTAGAAAATTAATTAGATCTGAAAGCCATGCACTAACCATTAATTGGCGGGTGTAATCCCGAAGAAGTAAATCAGCGAAAGCTTTGGGAGTGTAATCTGAGTGAGATGAATAGAAATCAGTCATAAAATAATTGTTTAGATAATCGTTACTTCCCATTCCACTGTAAAATATGCATTTGCTTAGATAGCTGTTGAGTCCATTTGCGTCTCCTCTGTAAAACCTCCTCATTTGAGTCACTGTTTCTCCAAAATCAGCTACTTGCTGGTTCATGGAAGCGTGACCACCCTATCAAATAATTAATCACAATATTAGAGATTAATTTATATAATATTGTCGGGTAGATCTATAAAAATAAGACCCTAAAATTAAAATCATGTTACTAATCTTATCCACTTCAGGTCACATGCGATGACAATCAGAAAAACTGTCTGTACCAACGCGAAGCCTAGCGCGGGAAACCAGTGTCAATATATTAACAAACGTTGACGCGATACACATGTCGGCGTATTAAATGCAATACCCTGACGCCACCCGCAAGTTTACGGTGCAGGTCCTGCATCGGGGTAGCCCTCTTTTTCTGTAGTGATCCTAAGAGCTTGTACATGTCTACTTAAACTTTTGGATAAAGCGTTTACTTAGCAATTGCGAATGCTCGCTCATAAATAAATTATAAAATTAATAGGGTTTCCTCATTATCAAAGTACCAAATTGTTGCCTGTTTCATCAAGAATGCCTGCTGCTCCAGATGCATAATTCACTCCCCTTAACAATGCTGGACCTCGAGTTCTTGAATAAGGTGGAATATAAAATGGGAATCCCAAGAGTTGAGCTGCAAAATGTCATGTCCAGGTTAGGAAAAATAGATAGCATTCACTACAGGAAAAATGTGTTTTAGTGACACAGTCAAATCTTATCGGAATCTGCTATCTACACTGACGCAAAAAAGTGTCGCAATATGTAATCATGCAAAACTGAAAAAAAAAAAAATTAATCATGAAAAAATGAAAGATAATACTTTCGAAGAAAGTTTGTGTTATACCAAGCGCATCGACATAAGTTCTGCCATTGGTGAATCGACCAGTGGCACCCTGAGGAAAGTCGATGCCATAAGGTCTGTAATTAGCCCTAGCAAGTGTGAGTATCCTGTTGTTGTTTCCATTATCCACCAATGAGTCCCCAAAGATGAAGAAACAAGGCACTTGGGGACCCTGTGGCTGTGGTTGTCGCTGTGACCAAACCCTAGAAGTTAAGCACCCAAAAACCAAACAAACCCATAAAAATTCCTCTCTAATTCTCTTCATTTTTTGAGTAAATATTTTGGAATGAAACCGCCATCCAGGAATGCCAATTTATAGTATTGTTGCTTTGATTGGTAGGTTAGATTGCTATTTATGGGAATCATGTAGCGAGCCATATGCATTTAAAAATAAAGTAGATTTGGGATAAATGATAAAGTGTTTTTTGAGTAAACTAGTTGAAGCTTTTAGCTGTTATTCATGCGTTTTTGTATTGAAGTAGCGGTGATGGCAGTTGCTAGAATTCTCGTGAATCTACAAGTTGCTGGCTATAAGTCTGCATTTGTATATGTGTATGTTCAAGTGATGGCTCAGTAGTAAAAGAAGTATTAATTAACAACTGTTGCATATAACATCTAGTCAACTTTTTATTTATCTATTATTATTATTATTTTCTTTTTTTTTTTTTTTTTATTTTTTTTTTTTTTTTTTTTTTTTTCTGGGACAACTTACGTGCTTCTCGATCATTCCCTCGATGCCTTGAAGTTAACTGTCAAGTAAGCCTCCAATAATTATCTCTTATTAGTAGTCATGAGGATTTGAACTCATGACCTCTTGAGTAATACATTCAAGAGTCTCATACGAACTGTCAATCTATGTAGAGGTAGTTATATATTAATTATTGTATGCAAGTATACAACTAAGACTATCCCATGCAATGATATACAACTAAGACTATTACATGCAATGATGTAAATAGATTCAGTTACAATCAAATGGAGACCAACTGCCCAAGTGTATGGTATTGGTGGAAGTTGTGGCAAAAATGGTTATGATAAAGTGGGTTTATTTCATTTCTCTCTAGAAGATTGCTTAGAATTAAATTCATTCGTTTTGTACAGAAAGTATAAAAAATTTCTCTATAATTACAAAAATCCTTTAAAAAATATCAAAAAATCTTTCAGAAATCAGAATATCAAATACCTCCTTACAAATTACAGACAAAAAGATATTGAGTGTTTCCTAGATAAGATAGATGAGTTAATTCTAAGCGATATTGTAGCGGACAAATGAAATAAACCCTTTTATAAATGCTTGGATGACTTCCTAAGAAACTTGGTAAGAATAGTAATATCATGCTGACCGTATTAATAACAATAATAAATCAACATTAACTTGATTAATTCCAGTTTTCTTTTTTTTTTTCTTTTTTTTAATGCAAAAAGAAATTGTATTTTTTTTTTCATTGAAATTAATTTCGAATAGAATTTGTAATTGGAAGAGGAAACATGTTAAGCAATAATTTGACCTTGTGTTTTAAAAGGTGTTAATAGAGGTAACTTAATTAATTATATAAATTTCTATAAATTAAATCAAAAATATATTTATGTAACAAAATTTTGGGCCTTGATTCAAAATGGGCGTTTAATGACATATTACCAGTTGATAGATTAGATAGCAAAAATGTTTTCATTGTTATCAATTCAGATATTGTTTTCAGAATTCAGAACACAAAATTGGACTTTGCATTTTCATTTTTGAAAACAAAAACACCAAATTCGATATTGATACCACTACTGAAAGTTTTTAACCTTGTACACGAAAATTAATATCCAATTGTGAAACCACCTATTACCATTTTAAACAAACACGATTGAAATAGACACTTGAGACTTTCCACCATAAGAGGGCAAGTGTTATATAGAAAAGATAGAAAATTCTCAGATATGAACATAATTACTAACCAAACAAAAATAGAGGCTAAACATTATACACTAGTTTATTATTTAATGAATAAAAAATGTGTTATATCGATGCATTAAAAAAATACTATGTTGTAGATAAAACTAAGTCTCTAATGTTCGATTAGTCTTTTAGGGTCCTGAAATTAACAACTGAGTAAACACTCCAATGTTTATCCATATTAATAACTAAGAAGAATAGAAGTCAAGACCTTTTAAATAATATCCACGAGTTTATATCAACCACATAGGAGTGATTTACCTTTAAGTTTAAATGTTGTCATCCTTATTTGCCTTTTGAAGCCAATCCTTATTTGCCTTATTTGCCTTTAAAACATATAGCAAAAAAAAAAATGATCCACTTTTAGGGTTTGTTTGATTTGTAATCAAAATACAATTAAAAAATACGATTCAAAATATGAATTGTATCACGACATAGTTAATATTTAAAAATATGTTTTATATTCAAGATATGGTTGTCGTCAACGACCAGATTTGTGGCTATAGATTTGGCCTTTTCCGACCAAATCCACAGTGGATCTGGTCAGGAAAGACCAGATCGGTACACTATCGACCAGATCTAGTTGGTAGTGCGCCATTACGGCAGATTCTGACCACCTTCCAACAATAGTGGCTAGAATCTAGCAAATATGGGTGGATGAGGGTGTTTTTGTTAATTTATAAACTTTTATTGTTGGGGGTGTTTAGTTAAATTAACAAAATTAAGAGGTTAAAAATAATCTAAATATCTTGAGTTGAATAGAATAAGATTAAATTTTAAAAATATTGAAATAAATTCATTTTTAGATTTTTAGGATAAGATAGTAAGAAAGTAGGGAAACAAAGGGAGCCATATAGTTATTTTTATCAAACCTCCCATCAATGGCGTATCCAGGATTTTTGCCCAGGAGGGGCCTCGGCGGCTTCACCATTGTTTGTCAAACAACTAGTGAAAACTTAAAAAAAAGTATGAAGAATATGAGAGAAAAGAATGTAAAAACACAATAATCCCTACTTAAATAAATCTATGAGAAAAAAAAAAATTTTGAGTAAATGTGTTGAGTAAACCTTGAGCAAAACCTTCTTTTAATTTTAATTTTTTTTATTTTTGGCTTCCAAAGATTATAATATAAATTTTCATAACATTGATCAGACCTAGCCTAAGTTAAAGTCAACCAAAACTTAAGTTAAGTTAATGTTACGTTGACTTTTAATATGATTTAATAAAAAAAAAAAATCCTTAATATAAATATAGTTAGTAACTCAAATTTCATTAATAATTTTAAGCAGTTGAACGGTGACGTTTGAATGTCAGAAACTAGTGGGTGAAAGATGAAGAATAACGCCCTTTAAAATATATTTAAAGCTTTGATTTAGGAAAGCATGTTCATTCTTAGATACAAAACACAAAATAAACTTATAAGATTCATGTCTCTTTCTCTTAAATTAGAATAAAAAAAACCTTTAAAAAAAATTTAAAAAAAAAACATGATTCAATCATAAAATAAACTAAATTGAAATGAGTAATATACATACCTAAAACTGATAAAAGAGAAAACGAAGCTAATTATAACATCTTGAACAGTGAAAGCTTCAACAATTTTAATTTTCAAAAGTTTTAAAAGCAAATAGTATGACAAAAAGAATGAGAGAGTAAAGAATTTTATGGATTCACTCATAAAAAGTAGGTGGAGCCGTGGAGAAAAAGAGTAGAGAGAGTTTTAAACTTTTAATATGATGTGAATTTAAAATATATATATTAATAATAAATTTTTTGTAGGCCTAGATATATNTAAAAAAAAAAAAATCAAACCTAAAACAAAGAAAATGATACTATATGAAGAATACGAGAGAAAATAATATAATAACATAATAATCTCTACTTAAATAAATCTATGAGAAAAAAAAAATTGAGTAAATGTGTTAAGTAAACCTTGAGCAAAACCTTCTTTTAATTTTAATTTTTTTCATTTTGACTTCCAAAGATTATAATATAAATTTTCATGACATTTATCAGACCTAGCCTAAGTTAAAGTCAACCAAAACTTAAGTTAAGTTAATGTTACGTTGACTTTTGATATGATTTAATAAAAAAAAAAAAAATTCCTTGATATAAATATAGTTAGTAACTCAAATTTCATTAATAATTTTGAACAATTGAACGGTGACGTTTGAAATATAAGAAAATAGTGAGTGAAAGATGAAGAATAACGTCCTTTAAAATATATTTAAAGCTTTGATTTAGGAAAGTAAGTTCATTCTTAGATACAAAACACAAAATAAACTTATAAGATTCATGTCTTTTTCTCTTAAATTAGATTAAAAAACCTTTAAAAAAAATTAAAAAAAAAAGCATGATTCAATCATAAAATAAACTAAATTGAAATGAGCAATATGCATACCTAAAACTGATAAAGGAGAAAACGAAGCTAATTATAACATCTTGAATAGTGAAAGCTTCAACAATTTTAATTTTCAAAAGTTTTAAAAGCAAATAGCATGAGAAAAAGAATGAGAAAGTAAAGAATTTTATAGATAAAATCATAAATAGTAAGTGGAGCCATGGAGAAAAAGAATAGAGTGTTTTAAACTTTTAATATGACGTGGGCTTAAAATATATATATTAATAACAAACTTTTTAGAGGCCTAAATATATATATATATAATAAAATGTATAATAATTCTTATTTTAAAAAACTTACGAGGTTGAGTCAGGATATATACATTAATAGCAATTTTTGGTAGGCTAATATATAATAATTTTATTTTAAAAGCTGAGGTAGGCCCAGGGGCTGGATCCGTCCATGCCTCCAATATTAACTTGACTGTATAAAAAGGGTAATGCTATGGGTACTAACGGATTCTACTCACTAGTATACTAATTTAAAATATAGTACAGGTATTATACGTATAGTACAGGTACTATATGTGATTTTAACAAAAGTTAATACTCTAGTTAGTTAAATCCGTTAATACACACAGTATTATTCGTTTAAAAATGTCCTTAATTCTAATGGCCACCTAGGACTTTTATTGCCGACGTTCGTGTCAATCCCCCAGCCCCATCTCCGTCTCCCACAAACATAAAAGCATAAAGGGAGAATATCAAAACCTACCCCTCACCTTTAGCTAATATCCCAGTTCATGGTTGTTATACCATAAATCATCACATTGCCCCCCTGAACCCTAGCAGTGTCAAGTTTTGTTACCTTGAAAAATATGATGCTCGACAACTCAAATCTAGTACATCTTGGCCTGGTTCTAAATTTAATTTTTAAATTTATTTGTTTAAAATAGTTCTTAAAACTAGTGAAATAGAAATAGTATACTATTTTTAATTAATTGCCCAAAATACCCCTAAACAGTTAAACTTAATTTGATGGTGTTAGGGTTAGGGGTGTCAACTGAGCTTAGCTCGACTCGTTAAATACTCGAACTCGGCTCGATTATAATCGAGTCGAGCCGGCTCGAATAAGACTCTAATTAGGTACCGAGCCAAGTTAGAGTCTATCCCGGCTCAGCTCAATTCGGCTCGCGAGTCAATAGTGGCTCGTTTAGGGTTTTTCTGCAAAAAATAAAAGTTTTAGGTCTGTTTAAATTTGACATGTATAATTTTTAAAATATTGCAAATTAACCCAAACCCCAATTAAAGTTTTAGGATTTTATAATTTGTTGTGTAATGCATTGTTGATGTGCTGATTTGGATGTGATTTATGTTGATTTGCATGTGATTTATGTTGGTTGGATGCAAATTTACCAAAAATTGAATCTGATTCGTATAAAACAAGATATGCGGGTTATATAAAAAATGGGCCAAACGAGCTGTAATCGAGCCAGTTCGAGCTCAAGTTAATCAAGTCATAATCGAGCTTTTTGAGTCGAGTCAAACGAGTTCGAGTCGAGTCACGAGCCGACTTAATTATAAACGAGTCGAGTCACGAGTCGAATTTTCCTGACTCGACTGACTCGGCTCGAACTCGTTTAATGCTTAACTGAGTCGGGCTCGTTTAGGGTGATACTCGGCTCAACTCGACTCATTTACAACCCTAGTACTTAGGGTTCGTTGGTTCAAGGGTATATTTTGATAGTTTCCTGCATAAATGCCACCAGTGAATAGTAACAAAAGGTTAGGGGTAGTTTTAGAATCTCCCAAAATAAAAATAATACTCGTTAGTCAATCTGTATTAAATTTATGAAAGTGATGGAAATGAAGCTCAGCCACAGACAGGGACGACCTCTTTCTCTCCCTAACCAAACCTCAACTTTCTCTTCTCACAGGTTTCAGTTCTTCTTCTTCTTCATTCTCGGTTCCTGCTTATGTTTACCAACAAATCAACAAACTATTGACCACTTTGTTCTGTTTTGTTAGCTTCCATTTCAAGAAGCATTTGAGAGGTCTAGCAAAGGTACATTTTTTACCTGCAAGTCTTAATTTTTCTTTTAGTCAAGTAAGTAATTGGCAATAAATCATCTGTTTTGTGGGTGGCAGAAGTGGAGAATTCAACTTCACGAGGTGGCAAATGGACTCAATCACAAACACTTGTTGGTTCATGTGGTCAAAGAGTAAGCTTGAGAATATTTTCTTTGATTCTTTTCATGGATTTTGAGGAACCGTTTTCTGGGTGGGTTCTTTTTTTTTATTTTATTTTTCTTAGTTTTGTTATGTTTTTTGTTGAGTTAATGTGTTTTTTATGTGCATTTGAGAGGTTTAAAGATTCTTATAAGAAAAGGAAATTTTTTGAAATTATGGTAATGTGGGATTTTAAAGTTTTTAGTATTTTGACTAGATATGATTAAGATTTAAGCCAAATAATCTATAAGCATGATGAGTATGGAAACTCTAGAAGAGTTTGACTTTCTCTTGTTGACTTATATATGACAATTTGCTTGAATTAGTATTGCAACTTTTTGATTTAGGTGTTGAGATGGGCTTGGTTCTGGGCTTAAATGGTGTTGATTCTCTGAATTTGATAATTTTTGGTGGCAGGGGTGAAACTTTGACTTCAATTTCGAAGCAATACAGGGTGTCTGTCTATTCAATTGCAGCAGCAAATAAGAATATTGTGGATGTTGATCTTGTATTTGAAGGGCAGCACCTTAAAATTCCTTCGTCTGCCAGGGAAGAAGGGCCAGCGGTAAGCAATATTACATGGTCATTATTGATAAGTCTTTTGGTTTTTTATTCGTTTTGTTGTTATTGTACAAGTATAAATTAAAAGTTCTTCTATAAGTTGCATTGCATTTTGAATTCTATACTTTTGATGCATAGTTTCATTGTAGTGGAACTCTTGTTTACTAGAATAGCTTACTTTCTTGCACATGTAATTGCTCTCAGTTTAATCATGTACGTTGACAATGGCATCTCTTGAGATTGTGGTTATAGATGCTCATTGATGTAGAATAATATAGAGATTTTAGGGATTTAATTTTCATAAGAATTATTTTTATCTGTTTCCTAGTTAGTTGTTTTGGCTTTCCTATAAACAGAGGCCTCTAATATTGTTGTAGGTAGACCTAAGATATGAATGGTAAATAATACTTTTGATTCTTCTTGTTTTTGTCCTCTTTCTTTTTTCCTCTATCTTTCCTGATCCCTATCACTCAATATATAAGTTATGCTATATTATTATTATTATTTATTTCTATAAGTTGAAACTTTAAAGAGTTTTGGGCAAAATTTCCGGCAGTCTGGATGAAAAGAGAGATGTTTTGATGTCAACATATGCTAATTGCATGTATCAGGGATTGAGTTTTAATGAAAACAAGTGGCTTGGATTATGTGCTCGATGATAATATATGTGCAAAAAGACTGATAATATAGCTCATCTTCACATGGTTTTTATGTACGCATTGAAATGCAAACATGTTTTTATCTTTAATTTCATCAATTGGTCAAACATTAACTAATAGGTATTTATCAGTTGGAGATTTTGCCAAAAAATAGTAGACAAACTTCAAAGGTGTTTAAACGCAATAAAAAAGTTGTGTGTAGAAATGGAAAGTAAAAAGCTAGTTCTTCGGTCTTTGTGAAAAATATATCTTTAGTTGAATCATTCACTAAAAACGAATAGAAGTTTGTAATTAGTCTATTAATTAAACTGTTTCTTTGTTGTTATGTGGTATGTGGTTGAAAACTATGGGTGGTTGTTAATTTTAGAATCTTAAAAATTAGTCTACAAAGCAGCTTTATTGAGCCTTGTCTCTGGGCAGGGTTTTAGATTTAAGCTAGAGTGCTGTTTCAAATTATGCCACAGAAGCAGTTTCGTGCACATAAAATATATATATATATATATTTTTTTTTTTTTAATTCAGCAACTTGTTAGACACATCAAAATATCTTGACACATTAGAATGTTTTGTGGATCATAACTAAAATTTATTTCACTTGTATTTCATGCTTGGAGTGCATTAATTTTGTATAATGATTTTGACTTCTGGCTTCTAATACGGCATTAATTCCATAACATGAACTATGACAGACTGAAAAGGATAGTTTGTCCACTGTCAATCTCAAAGAGACTCGTCAACCTTCCTTGAATATCTTCAATGGACTTTTGGACAAAAAGAACCATACTGTGCAAATTGCCCATAGTTTGCCACATGTAAGATTGTTTCTAAATTTGCAGCATCATCTTCGTTTTATCTTCCAATTGTTTGTTATCTTATTAGTTCATCAATGGTAGTGACATCAACAGGCTTATCCATTCTATTATCAGGCTAAAACCACTGGTTATTTTCTAGTAATGGTTCCTCTTATAGCATTCTGCATCAGATGCATAATTGGTTCCTTTAACACTAGAATTTCTGGAAATTCAAGACACCAAACTGTGAATGAATCCAAGGGACATCATCATGGGTCCAAAATCGTGCGTTGGAAGTCTGCTCTCGGAGACATAATGGAAGCTGACAGTTCAGATTCTGAAACAAGGTCAGAGTCGAATGTAAGTATATTGCTGCTGCAGTTGTAATTCTCGCCAGTTCCCTTTAATGCTTGGATTCAACTTGGTTTATCAATTTCACTTGTGGTGGTCTCATGCATATGACAAATCTTGATATTTTAAATATTTTACTCAAAGCAAAAGCGCGGGGAAGACTACATAGTAATTTCATCAATATCTTGCCAACAAAGTAGAATTGTAGAACATATTGATTGCTCTTTTTCTTGGTTCAAAAATTTAAAACAGTAGTGATGCCTTCACTTTTCTGTAGGGCCAATCTTCCACAAACTTTTCTACGTCCCAAGTTCACAGAGCACCCAAAATGCATATTTTTTTTACTGGTTTTGAAGCATTGTCCTGAAGCTATCAGTTTGAAAGGAATTCATTTGGTGTAAAAGTTTTTCATGCTCTTAATCTTCATATTTATAAATTTCAGACTTCATTGAAGCACTAATGAGCCAGCATCCTGCTGTAATAATTTATGCTTCCAATGTGGTGATGAAGTTGAAGAATGAAATTGTTGCCAGTTATGTCCATAAATCATTTTTTGCTGTTTAACCTTCATCTTTAATTGCTAACTGTGGTAGATCATGCTGTTAATTTGTCAACACTGTGCAGGATTTATCAGAAGATATAGCTCAAACTTCCTTTGAAGATATGTCTCATGCTTACGGCAAACTAGAAAACGATTATGAAAAATTTCTTGCTGAATGTGGAGTGAGTAAATGGGGATACTGGCGAGGAGGTTCTCCTGAATAAAGCATGTTATTGTGAAAACTTAAACATTAAACAACAATTTTGATGTCAATTTTTGCTGCTCTTGTGCGTACCCCAAGTATTGAATATCCTAATCGTGTGATATTGTTAAGGTTTTAGGAAATGCAACATGTAAATTTATCAAGGTGAAGATAGCACATGTAGTTCATTGTATATACGATATATCTCCATGTTACTGGTTTTTAAGTGTGATTTGATTTTATCAAGGGAGTGTTTGAAGTTTTGTTTACTTTCATTTTGATTAGCCAGTTTAAATTAAAACCTTAGTTTGTAGTTTCAGAATTGTAATCACTCGAGTTACTGTAGTTTTAGTCATCTAGATTTGGCATTTTATGCAGTATATACACCATCATTGGACAGAAATACTGTCACTTGAAAATTTGACCATGGAATTAGAACTATTATCACATTAAGATGGATTCAACACAATATAACCAGTTCTTGTTTCAAGAAGAATTTAGTGTATCTATAAATAATTTCTCAAACAGTATTGAGATTAAATAAACTTCTGAGTTTGATTGTAGCGTCTGTCCATTTAGAATTCGGAGCTTATTGTTTACTTTCATAATTCTTAAGCTTATTTGTATACAAACCAAAAGTCATAAAATTTCAAAGAGCCATCTGGGAATTTATGATAAGATTAGGTTATGCTCATTTGAGAAACTAAGTAAAGGGAATACTCTTAATAATGTGACAATCCAAATACAGTCCAGATTACAACCACATTGAATATGCGCATAACTAAATTCTATTCCTCAACGCACACGACGAGCTTTTTCTTCCTGTCCTAACCCAAGGGATTTCTGTGCACCAGCAATGCCTTCAGGATCTGTAATATAACAAGCTAAAATCAAAATACTTGGCAGAAAGAAAATTGCTGACGATAAACAGTCGCTGCAATCATAGCTTTGACTATTCTCGTGATCAACAAAGTTCAGAGAACTCAACAATTAGGTCCATTGAATGGCCAAAATTTTCAACAAACTAAACTGCTAACATGGAACAAAATAATCCAATTGTACCACACAATACAAAAACTGAAATTCTCTATTATTGGGTTGTTGCATCCAGTTAGTCTGCTTCTTTTGTAAGTGGAAAATTGTGACCAATAAAGATTGGCTCATAACCCAATCTCACAAACTCTCTCTCACAATTTCGACGTAGCAAGTCGCAATTGATCAGCCCACAATTAGTCAAAAGGAAAAATTCATCAAAAACCAATGACGAGATACCACTTCAGGGTTATGAAAGAAAATTTGTGAGATTGGATTGTAAATGTAGTATTGCTTAATTGTGACAGATTATACTTCAACAGTCAAAAAGCGTGACTGATGTTTATGTGGTTAAAATATATAAGCATCGAGAAAGATACAATTTTTTTTTTTCCTTCCACTGAAGGGAGGGAGGTAAAGGACAGGAACCCTTTAAACGAATTGGGTTGGAACTATTAAAATGAGGCATAACATGGTTCATCTTCAATCCATGAAGCTACTGAAATCAAACTTACCAAAAAACTGCGTGAAAATCCTTGTGAAGAAATTCAAGTTGCGGGAAACATTGTATGCCATGGCAGGTGGAAGAGGCTTAACGATTGTGTCTATGCTGAACACTCTCTGAAGAAACTGTATGAAAATGGAATAATCAATATACAGCCCCATGAACTATGTAAACTTTTCTTAAATAAAGTTAAAACATATATATAACCGTCAAACTAAAACAAAGATGGCAAATGTCTTAACTTAAGCAGAGAGCATTTAACAACTGTTAATATGTCAATTGGATTAACAGAGAGCATTATCTGTTGTAACCTCAGATAACATTCAAACAAATAGAAAAAATTCAAACGTCTAATAAACATGCCTTTCCTAGTAGAGTAGGAGATGGATGTACAGTGCAATCCCATAAATAATAGTAAGGCTACTCCAATGTTTTCATTTGCATTCTGCCACTGAAAAACAAATTAAGATTTCTGGTATTCTATGAGAATTTAAATCGTGGATTCCTGTAAACCTTTTAATAACAAGAAACATTAGAAATTAATGAGCCAGACAAACTTGTTTATTCCCTTCTGCCACTAAAGCAGAATGAACCATGCTCACTCCCGAAAACCCATGTATTTACTTTGCATAAAGTTAAAACTGAAAACTCTTAACAGGATATTCGGGTGAGCGAAAGCAACTATTAAAATAGGAAAAGAGACGGAACAGAAACTTTGTTCCATTGTCAACTCATACGCCAAACCAATTTCAACTAGATTGAGAACTGTTCTATGGTATCTATTTTGATAATATGACTCAAGTCTGCAATGTGAGAAGTCACAAATTAATATGCAAGTGACCAATGAGATGCTTCAAACTGCCATAAGAGCATTGCATCGTCATCAAGTCATCAACTACATAAAGAAAGGAACAAACGCTCAGCAGGAGGGCTATACAACATGTAGAATGCAATTAAAGCTCTTTTAATATATCCTGTAGGCTGTGGTGCTTAACTGAATCAACAAGCCTCAGATATTGCCGTCTTTGTTAATCCCAGTAGTCAATTACTATTATCAACTAAAAGAGAATAAATTACTGAAAACAAGCCTCGATGATGTATTAGTGATTTCCATGAGAAAGCAATTTGACTATTCCTGCATGATTGACGGACTATAGAACCCAGTCTCCTCATAACAAAAAGAAAAAGTATAAACAGTTCAAATACACCATATTCATTAAGCAACACATTTCTGCAAAACAACATTCATAATTCCTTGTATCCTAAAAATTATTCCTGCAAAGGGAGGATTCACATGAAATCACCCATCCACATACATTATCAAGAAAACATAAATAACTATTACTGTTCTTCCATAAAGTTTAACTACAATACCATCAGACAACCAACCGATAACAGAATTTATCAAAAGAACTCACTGAAAATTTAAATATCATCATAAACCTCAACCATAACCGTCAAAAGCATTGATTAAATTTCACTAAATTAAAAAAAAAAAAAATTAAATTAAAAGTTCTCTAGACACCATAAAAAGCCTAAAACAACAGAGCCTACCAACCAAACATCATCAACAAATATGTCTACATAACCATTTAATGTTGCATTTGTAAAGCAGAATCTCATAATCAAAACAAAAACAAAATTGTTGATTTTAAAGCAAATTATAGTTTGCAGAACATGCTGCTTGTAAGTCTTCTGTAAATAGTATGTTGTTAACTGGCTTGGCGATGCTACCACTCCACTGCTATAGTAAGAGCCCTTACAAAAACATGATTTTGCGGGGAAAAAGAAAGTTAAAACAACAGGGGTGGGAGTTCTCTTTATTTGCTAAAGGACGGAATATATGCACCCAATGTTCTACTCTCAACACACATCTTGCTAAATACACACGTCATTAAAACTTTACAAATTATATATTCTTTTATTAACTTCTAACAAATAATTATAATTTCATCATATTCCTATTGAATTAGGAATTAACCTGATAATTTAAGGCTGTAATAATTATGAAAATTCAGAAAGTTAATAACGTTCTGACTTTTAGAATATTTTATGCCCTCGCCCTTTCTAAAGAGGCTGAATCATATCACTCCCTTAATTGGTATCCAAAGAAATACACTGCCACCAACAACAACAAAAAGAAATTAAAGCTCGTAAATGTTCTCTAAACGCCTCAATGTACCCTTCTTAAAAATCCCGGCAACCTTACCACTCCAGCACCATACTACGAACCCATCAAAAACATGAATTGCGTTACCAAAGAAACCAAAAAATACGAATAAAACAAACAGAAAGAAGCAAAATTTTCATTCAAAATACGAACTTTAAATCAAATTATCATTCATCTAACAAGCAACACCAGTAACGTCGCCGGCAACATTACCACTCCAGCACTATTTTATGAACCCATCAAAAACACGAATTGGGTTACCAAAGAAACCAAAAAACATGAATACAAAATACAAAACGGAGCAAAAATTTCATTCAAAACACGAACTTTAAAGCAAATAATCGTTCACCCAACAAGCAACGCCACAAACGCCAGCAACGTTACCACCCCGGTAATAAAAAAACACATTAAAAACAAGAACCGGGTATCTCAAGGAAAAGAGATAGAGAGAGAGAAAGACCTGGAAGTTACGCTGAAAGCTGTAACGAAGCTGGGGGTCGATTTGGAGGTATTCATCGTCGTCATCAAGATTATCGTATTTGGAGGTCTTTTTCTTGCCGGGCACGTGCATGGTGGAAGTGCCACCGGAGTCGCTGGTCACTTTGAGCTTGGCGTCTTTGAACTTGTTGGAGTCGTCGTCGTCTTCCCCCCTCCATGGAGCTTTCGTTAGCAGGTCCTTCTTCGCTTTGCCCATGATTTTGCTTTTCCTCCCCTCGCTTGAGCCCGGTTGAGTTTTGGGCTTTACTTGTTGATAATGTTTCTGTTTGGTTGCGCGGATTGGTTTGTGTTCGTTTGGATGCGTGGATAGGCTTGGTGTGCGTTTGGGAATCCTGTTTACTTGTGAGTTCGTGACTTGTCCGAAATTTTGAAGGACCCAGTATTCTGGGTTTGCAAAATAGGACAAATTTAATTTTAAGTTGTCCTATTTTTATTTTAAAAGGTAGTTAAATATTTAATTATTTTATATATTATTAATTTTAAATTAAAATATTAATAATCCAGATATGAAACAAGTTTAGAGATTGATCTAACGGTAACCACTTCTATCAATGTTGTTATTAGAATTCTCCTTTAAACCACGATACTGTCATGTCGAAAGTTAAAAGATAATAATGTATTATGCTAGTCTAAATCTATAATTAAAACAATGCATGAAGCTTGTTTGTGATGGAACTATATAAGTTGGTTATCGATGTTCAAAATAACCTAGATTTAAACCTTGGATCACCAACTATTGATTGTTCACGAATAGGAATGGACCTAGGCCCTTTAAGGGTACACTGGTATCCTCAAATTAAAAAAACCAATTTTTTCTATGGAAATTTTTCTCTAGAATCTCTCTTTTTCTTTTGGGATTATATCTGTCTTTATTAATTTGACTTTTTTGTTCTCCCCCTCTTTCCTAATTTGGTTTATATAATATACCACATAAATCATTATTAATTGTAATTTTTAATTTTATAACTTAACCTCATTGTCATTTCATCTGTACTTACATTCTCATATTTTATCTCTACCTAATTAATTACTTAACATATATCTATTCTCTTTACTAATTAAAGATTTAATGTTGTGACTAACACCCCTTTTTAATGGAAATAAAAATTAAAAATTTATATAATTATGTATAATTATAAATTAATAATCTACTTAGTAATTATCAGTATCTTTCCCTTATTTTAATAAATTTTGAATGATCATGTTATACTCTTTTCACAAATCTATCAATGTGACATAATTTTAAAAAATAATCAGATTATATTTCAATTTGAATCATTCATTAAATTTTGACTATGACAATTTAACGTTAAGAGTAAACATAATTGTTTACTATTTAATTTTTTGAAGAACTTAATCATATAAAATATTAGCATATAACTCAATTTTCTGTTCAACCCTTGCTTCTTCCCCTCTAATTTCATCACAAATTTTCATAAGACATTAATAACATCAATTGATAAGAGAAGAATTTAAAGTTTTTGGCTCTCCTCACGTCTTTATACGTAAATTTTTTTATATTTTTTTGTGAATTAGATATTATTTCCAATATATTTACTCAAGATTTTGGATACAATAGATTTATTGAAATAGAAAAATTATATATTATTACATTATTTTCATTATTAAAAATTCGGTAGTTTTAAAAAAAAATTTGCACTAGATGATCGATAAAGAATGGCTGAGCCGTGGAGGCCCTCTCGCATAGGCAGTGATGCAAGAACTAGGAGTGACATGACCGGTCGCTGACAAGTGACAAGTGACTTTAATCATCTATTTTACTTGAAATTTTTTAATATTTGTTTTATTATTCATTTTAATAAACAATAATAAATTAACATGATAATGAATAAATCCATAAATTTCTTTATGAAAATATGTATTATAATATTAAATTGATAAAGAAAATTATTTTACATTATTTCGTATTTAATCAGAAAAAATCATCACGTGGTGATAACAATAACAATATTTATTATCTGTGACATTAACATTTTACATATAGTACGTTTCATCTGATTCTCTCAATATTCCTTATGAAAAGTAAACTGCATCTATTGGCCATTACACTCATTTTCGGATTTTCCCTTTCTCACTCAGATTTCCATTCATCACACTTTTCCATTCTATTACACAAAGTAACGTTGCCAAAATTTAATTGGATACTAACAAACCCTAAATCCCTATAAAAACAAAAATAAAACAAACAAAATAACAAAAAAATAAATTATACACACAAACAAAAGATTTATAGTGATTTTCTCTATATAAGAGTTGCGTCTATTTTGCTGTTACAAAATTTTACTATAGAGAACAAGAAAAATTACAAGTCTCTCACAAGTCACAAGCTTCACAGATTTACTATATCATTAAATCTCTCTTTGGTGGTTTTCCCTCTCTAATTGTGATAGAATTTAACCTCTTTTTATATGTAATATATGAGATACTATTTATAATAGGACTCAAATATCATATCATAATAGAAATATTATTTTAATTCTTAATACAATTATATTCTTATTCTTAATTGTATCTATAAATAAAAACATATTAGGAAGACTCATATTCTAATGAAATACTAATTTAGATTAAATTTGGCTCCACCATCTCAACAAATAAACACCTCCTTGGTCCTTTCCAGTTGAGTAATAAACCGTGTATATATATATATAATTAAAAACTTAAAAAAAATTAAAATTATTTTTAATAATTTAATACAGGGATAAATTTATTATCATAAAATTATTAAAAAGTGGTGCATCTTTAATCCATTAGTAGATAGATTTATTTGCGAAATTGATTAATCGAGATCAACACAAATTAAACCGGTTTGATTTGTGTGTATTAATTATTCGGGGTGGTTTGAGTATAAGCAAACACAAATCGAGCCCAATCATGTATGAGTAATGCTACATTTACATCACCCATTACATCATTTTTATTACACCATCACTATTTTACTAATAATTATTTTATTATAATATTAAAAATTTAAAATAATTAAAAATTTATGTGAAGGTAGGATATACCACATCATGATATAATGAAAATGATGTAATGAGTGGTGTAAATGTAGCATTACTCATCATGTATACCTCCTTGAACTGGGCCCGTTGTGAAAAAGCTCAATCTAATCACAAAACTGTGGAAACAAATTTTCATTGGTAATACGACAAAATATACTCTATTAGAATTTGAAACTAATAGCTGCTTTTTGTCTTTCTTTTTAACCATAATAATGATGTTTATAGTAACTTTCTCACTGTCCCATATTAATTATAACCTTAGTTAAACCAAAATCCTAATTAACATTCCATTTATTGTTGATTCATTTTTATCTTTCAATTAATTGAAGATTTGCTAGTGACTTAAATTAAGAAATCAGTTAAATTACAGCAGAATTTACAACTATAATTTTTGTGGGATAAAGTTTTAAAAATAATTTTGACAAATGAAGTAATTAATTACTGGTTGATTAAAAGCAATCAGCAGTACCATGACAAAAATGATAAAAATTAAAAAATTAAAAGGACCACCATTTGGGGCAAACATAATATGAGTCTTGATTGATTAATAATTAACAATTAATGATTATGTTTTCCATTTATTGAGAGCTTTTAAATCTCAGTCAACAGTGTACACAAGATCCTAACTCAAGAATTACAAATTCCAACTAAAACATTACTAGTATTTAGAATATTAATTAAATAATTATTATATCAAATAACTCATTTTAATCTAAATTAATATTCATTTTTATCTAACATAATATTTAGAGAACATATCCTTTTTTATTTCACTAAAGAAATAATTAAAAAGTTGCTAGACATATGGTTAGATTTGTTGTTTAAATAAAACTAACACATTTTGGGAAATTAAATTTACTGAATTGGCTATATATATGTCTAAATCCCTCTTAAAAAGTACCCTTATTTTAGATTTATTTTTGTATTTTAAAAGCGTTTTTGATCATTTTTTTCATTAATACTAAATTTTTTTATTAATTCTATGAGTAATACTACACATATAACATGATGTGACAAAAGATTATTGGGTGAAAGTTTATTTTTAATTTAAAATCAGCCAATTATCTTTTATCACATCAAGTTATATAAAAAATATTGTATGTATAGTATTATTCTAATTCTATTGGAATAAATTTGAATATTTCAAGAGTTACCAGAAATGAAAACTCTATACACAAGTGTACAGCACTAAAAATATATATATATATATTAATGTAATATGTTAATTAAGTAAGATATAATGTAATAAAGTAATTATTTATTCCTTAGAGTTATGAATATTAAATTTTGACATGTCAACTTAAAATAGTGAAGCCTGTCAGTCTAAAGGTGGTGGTGGGCTGTACCGTGCCTCAAAATTTAAGGTCCATCGTGCTATGGGCTGTGTCATGCCAAAGTCTACACAGTTTCGTGCCCTATCGTGTCGTGCCGGCCCACCCATTATATATGTGTCGTGCCTTAGGTCGTGCCATTGGTCGACCCACGTGCTTTGTGAAAATATTTTATTTTAATATTTATAAATTATGGTAATTTTGATTTATTATTAATAATTATTATAAAAATATTTTATATGTTATATTTAGTGACATTTTGTATTTATATTAATTAAAAATATATAATCACTATAAAATATAATAAAATAATGAGACATTGAAATATTAAGTGAATTTTAACATTTTTTACTACTTATAAGTTATAATTATAAATTACAAATACAAACTTAGAAATTAAGATTAAGAATTAGTATACATCTTCATTTTTATTAATTTCTAAATTTTTAAAATCTTCAAATATATTTTCAGCAACACGATTTTGAAGCTTGAAATCTACCGCCACCTAATCTTTCATGTATATAATGGCTTCAACAACACGATTTTAAGTTTAAAATAATCGTTAACTATTTTAAAATAGTTGTTACCTCTTGCATAGGGGATAACAACTAAATTTAAAAAATAGCTATTAATTTTATTATTTTATAATTTTTTTGCCATGCCATATCATACCAGTCCATAAGCTTTTTTTAAGACCCACAGCACGACTCGCATATTTACATATCGTGTCATGTTTTTTTTTTTTTATGCTATGCTTTTTCCATGCTGGGCCCTGTCGTGCACGGCCCACCACCAACTCTACCTAACACTTGTCAAAAATAGGGAAATATATAATTAAATTTCAAACCCTTTTCCAGAGGGTTCTAACCGCTCTGTACTCCTTTTCATTTTTCAACTCCTAAAACTCTACAAAAGCCATCACATAACATTACTCATTTATTTAATCATATTAACGGTGATATGAGATATCATATGCGTGTCTGTGTTATCATCGACCTCTTCAACTACTTGATATCTGTCACCTTCTATTTAAGATAAAATAATTAGAAAAAAATGTATTATAATTTACCAAAGTTAGCAGCACATCAATACTAGTAGCTTGCTTGTCATTATCAAATTTACAAATCTTCATTTCTTCGATTCTAAGACTTGAAAAATAAATTACCATCAATCATTGTTCCTCATCAACCGCTTCCTTTTCAAGTTACTTCTCTTTCTTTTGTTCAGGGGACCTTATCTGCGACTGCCTATCTCTATATAACAAGTATGGACCCCCTCAGTTTATATTGAATCCCATATGTTGATACTGATTGTATACCTAACATTAAACTAGAATGTGATTGTCAAAGATTTAGACTTGAATAAAGAAAAGAGTCGGTAACATTAATCAGTATGAGCTCGAATCTCTTATTAATTCAGTTGAAGGTGCATGGTAACCTTATCTTGAAGGTTATACTATGAGATTGTTCCCCTCCACCAAACATACCAAAAATCTCGCTAGTTCTTCCACTATCTATTTCTTTAAGAAAAAGTGTCCCTTTGTTTAGTGTTACAATTTTTCTCTTCACAAGTCCTTCCATTTTCATCTCTCTTGAGCTCGGTCTGTGTCTCTCCTTCACCATAATCACAAAAACCATGAGTTCCAAGCCTCAATCTCCCCTCAACATCAAGCTCATTCTCCTCTTTGCTTCCTTCCTCCTCCTCCTCCTCCTCTTCGTAACAAGAACAACCTTCTCATCTTCATCCTCTCAAGAAAAAAACTCAACACCCATTTCACAAATCAACCTCCCAAACTCAGCAAATGAAGATCAAGAACAGCAACAAGTAACAAAACCATCTTGCCCTTCTCTTCCTTTACCACAAACTTGCACCAAAACCCCACCATCTCTCGCCAATGCTCTTGTCCATTATGTAACCACAAACATCACCCCACAACAAACCCTGAAAGAAATCTCAGTCTCCTTAAGAGTTCTCGAGAAGAAATCGCCCTGCAACTTCCTCGTATTCGGCCTCGGTCACGACAGCCTCATGTGGACATCTCTCAACCATGGAGGCCGCACAGTTTTTCTAGAAGAAGATAAAGCCTGGATCGACCAAATCAAAGAAAAACTCCCCACCCTGGAATCGTACCACGTCGAGTATGACACGAAAGTTCACCAAGCTGAAGATTTGATGAAGATCGGAGTAGGAAATGACTGCAAGGCCGTGAGTGATCCGAGGTTTTCAAAGTGTCGGCTGGCGCTGAAGGGTTTTCCGAGCGATGTTTATGATACCGACTGGGATTTGATAATGGTGGATGCCCCGACGGGGTATCACGATGAAGCTCCGGGGAGGATGAGTGCAATTTACACTGCGGGGTTGATGGCGAGGAACAGAGAAGAAGGAGAGACGGATGTGTTTGTGCATGATGTAGATAGAATTGTGGAGGATAAATTTTCCAAGGCGTTTCTTTGTGAAGGATATTTGACGGAACAAGAAGGGAGGATTAGGCATTTTAGTATTCCTAGCCATAGGACTCGTTTGGGTAGGCCATTTTGTCCTTTGATGAATTGATTTATTATATCCTTTAATAATTTTTTTTATTTTTGTTTCAATACATTAATTTTTTTTTTTTTTTTTGGTTCATTGTGGATGAAATAAGAATTATATATGAAAAGTGGAAAAGGGTTTCCTTTTAATTCTTTGAATTGTTGCCAATTAATTTCTTTCAATGATTTTTTATATTATCAATGTTATGGTCAGGATACCTAGTGAACTGTTCACTTTTGTCGATCTAGATGATATAAAGATGCTGAATTGATATTATATGTAACTACTTTAAACATTTATTTATCACTTTTAGATCAATAGAGAAAGATGATTCACAAAAAATCTAAAAAATTAAGTCTCATATATATATAAATATATTTTTATTTATTGATAGACACAAAAATTCTTAAAAGTGAGGACACCTTTGTTTTAAGAAATCGAATTGTCTTCAACCGCCACTTACTATTTTAAAATTTGGATTTATCTTTACGATATAACTAATAATTTGCTAGTCTTTGACCCGCAAATTAGGGCATGCATTAATTCAAAATATATAAATACATATAAAAAAAATTAATGTCTAACCAATGTTAAAGGTAAAAAAATATAGGTATCCTACTTATGTTAAAAGAGATAAACAATAATAACAATAACATTAATAAACAAAATCCCACTTATATATTTTCAAAGACTATAGAAATTATAAAAAAAAAAAAAAAAAAAAAAAAATAATCTAAGTTCATAATTAGAATTGAAAACAAAATGTCACGTTGTTCAATGACTTTGTGATAATTTAAAAAAGATGATGATAAATTCAAATCTTATACTAAAAAAAAAAAGAAAAAAAGAAACCAGATTAATTGGAATAGTGCTTTTCAACAAATACTCATTACCTTTTCCTTATGATCGTATGACAAACCATTAATTATTAAGGTAATTATATCAAAGGTCTTGTCTGTTAAATCATGGAAAATAAAATTACCGAATATATAATGTCCAAAAAACATATACTTCTTTGCTATAAAAATATTTATTAACCTTATTTGTATGGGAAAAAGAGATTGATGACTATGACTAACTACTTATAAAACATTACGATGGTGCATCACACATAACTAAACATACAATCAAATCCAACAACTATGAACTAACATTTCATTTATTAAGTATAATTCAGGGGTTTAATTGTATTCTTTAAGGGCTGATTGATCCCCTTATCTATTTCTTAATAAAAAATTCTTCTCACCTTAGGTTACTAACAGTTCATCCATTTGAAATATAATTTCACCAACTTGAACAGTTGAAATATTATTTTTCCTCCTATTATTCAATATTCATTATCAAAATATAATTACACCATGAAAAAGTGTTTTACGCCAACGCCAATGCCAATGCCCCATCCAATGCCAGAAAATAAACAGCGTCAGTGTAAATTTAAGATGCCAATGCCTACCACATCGGTGATTGTAGTTCTCCGGCGCAAGCAAAATGCGTCCGAGAATACCACTTATCTAAAGAATTCTGATGCTATATGATTTCCAAACAATCGACCTATCTAAAACCTTCTCCAATAACATGAAACACAAAATCATAAACTTATTTCCACCATCTCATTCCTCATAATGTTTCTAACTTATTAAAATCATAAACCCGGTAACAAAGACAAGAACATTATAAAAGAATTACAAATACCAAATGACAAATCCAAAATCATTAAAAATAAATACATTGTCAACTCATACGATTGAGGAGAGGGTGTTTGCACTTAGACTACCAGTCGTGGCCAACCACACTACTAAGCCGCAATCTAGCGGGGAGATCACTCCACGGTGGCCAATTTGCAATCTAGCCAGCAGGACAGTTGGTGGCCAAACATGTGATAGAGCTTACTTTTTGTAGTTCTTTTAATTTTTCTACAATTTTGTTGCATTGAGTATTAGGGTTTGAATTTTAGAAAATTTAAAGGAATTTTAGTGAGAGATATTCGGGGTGATTTGATATTTAGATTTGGTGTGTTTAATGTTATATATGTTAAGATAATATGACATGAATACTCTTTTACACTTAATTTTTACGTTTAAATGAAAAAATGATATTATATTGTTAGTTTCTGAAACCCAAAAGGAAAATCTTTTTAAGGCATAGATAGTTGTTCTGTTATTCTCCCCATTTTTAATGAGTAATACTACATTTATAAGAAATTTTACAAGATCTTCCGTAAAATGATGTGGCAAAATATGAATGGAATAGTAAATTTAATGAGTTTAACTTTTTATTTCACTCTTCCATTCATTTTTTGTCACCTCACTTGTATAAAAATCTTTGTAAAATTTCTTGTGTAGTATTATTGATTTTTAATTATCTAAAGGTTGAACCAATATGAGTTTTGTATTATATTTTTTAGGATTTAGATTTTACTTTGAAGTATACAATTCAATTTAAAACATAAATAGGAACATTTGTCTCACAAATAGATCTAATATCATAATATTTTACGAAAAGGTTTCATAAAAAATTTTAGAAATGATTTCAAAGAAACGGCATGTCCACAGAGGTTTAGCAAAATTATAAGTTGATGCCACTAGTTTTATTATTTTCAAATTTCTACTCTTAAAGTAACGATATTAGTAAAATGTTAACATTTATTTCATATTCTACTTTTAAAGTAACGCTTTAGCTAAATAGTATAACATTATATCGCGGAGCATGTTAGCATGCTAAAGTGTACTGCACTTTCTTTGGTGTGAGATAGGCTTACATTAGCAAGAAGTGGTTCCCATTAGCAACATTCAAGCCGATGATTTTTGGCTTCTTCTAGCCGTATTTCGAAGCCCATCACTTCTGAGACACCATTGGATCCCCACAACCTCTCTACAAAATCTATACCTTCATTTGTTGACATCATATTGTTTTTGACCACCTCCATTCGTGCCGCCTTGTGAGATTGGGTTAATTCTCAAGCTTTTTCAATCGATTTGGGTACAATCGATCTCTCCAGATTTCACCACCAACTTCACCACCATCACTGATTGTTATGATGTGTTTTTTGTCGTTGTTGACTCCTCAATCGTGGAAATCGAAGCCCAAATTAGTGCCCATACATGCTTGATTAAAGTCCTCACTTAGCATTACAGAAGCTAACCCCATTACTACCAAATAAAGCAGGGCTGTCTCTAGAATATTTGTGACCCTAGGCAGGAGTTATTGGGGCCTCTAATAATATGAGCATATATTAAAAAAATTATTATTATTATTATTATTTTTGCCTGTGAGATGAAAAACACTAGGAGAGGTGGACAACAATCGGCAGGCTAACAAGGTTAGGTTGGTGGGGGGTTTTGGAGAGTAGATATTGGAGAAGTGATGGATGGTGAAATGGGTGATTTCCAATGCCAAGATGTATAAGAAAAGGCTTGAGAAGTCACGGCCCAAAAGGTATCGATGGCCGACGATTGGCAGAGTAAACGGATAAGGTATGATAGGGTTTTGGTGAGAGGGCTAAGGTATGATAGGGGTTTTGGTGAGAGGGTTGAGGGGAGGAAGATGGTGGTGTCAGGGAAGACCAACAAGTGGGTACATGCCAAAAAGGCTGGAAATGCCTGTGTGTGGTGGAGTTGGGTTGCGAGATTCATCAAAAATTAGTCAAATCGAGGCTATCAAGGTTGGGAAATGATAAAATGATGATTTTGGTAATTTGGTGAGAAAATCGATCAGAACCATAATTGACCGAATCAACTTAAACCACGGCGGCAGAAGAGGGCTGGAGATGATTTATGTGAATGTCAAATTTGGGATTGAATTGGGGATGAGTAATTTGAGTATGTAAATGACTATTTTAATCTTCCATTGTTAAAAGAGATTCAGTGTGTTAATTTAGGGGTATAAACTAAATATATAAAACTAGAGGTACAAACTTGCTATTTTGTTAAACTTTGAGTGGAAATATATGTAAAAAGTTTATAATAAATTTGGGTTTTTTTGGCTTTTTTTGGGGGGTCCCTTAGCTTAAATAAGAAATATAAATCATTTTCATTTTTGTAAGATATTAAAAAAAAAAAAAAAAAATTATAAAAAATTTAGGCCCCCATTTTTTTGGGGCCCTAGGCAGGTGCCTCACTGCCTACCCTTAAGCCGGCCATGAATTAATGATATTACCTTAAGAGTAGGAATCTGAAATAAATTAAATCAGGGATCAACTCGTCGTTTCGCTAAATCTTGGGTGGCAACATGTCCTTTACTCATGATTTTAAAAAGTTGAAGGATGCTTATATTATTTTCAAAGTAAGAAGGCCCACATAGATTGGATCAACCTCAAAAGACGTGAATGGAAATGGACGGTTTTCATTAGAAATATTACAATTGATATATAAAGTATAATTAATTATTACCATGAGAAAAAGTATATAGTAGCAAAGTTATAATGGAAAAGAAATGGTTTACACTTTACACTATTAAATCTTAGCCCAGTATCATTACAAGCCCAGAACAGACAGTAATTATTGGGAGAAGAAAGTTGTAAAATTATAATTAAAATGTCAATGTAACGAGAGACATTTTTGTCAATTTCATTGTCTGCTGACCAAATTATTGTACCTTAGGCTAAAAAGTTAAACGAAGATGACCCAGATGTCATGTACAAAACATCTGTCAAAAGATTCATCTAAAACAAATCTATTATATATTTAATCCAGTTATTCCATATTTGTCTTGTGAGATTGTTTTGTATTAAACTCATCTCCTTGTTTAATAATTATTAAATAACCCCAAGACTGGGAGCGATGATGGACCTACATTGTCATGAGTGGGCTGGTTACCCCACTTAATTTTTTTTTAATTAATTTGCTGTAGTTTTTTTACTTTGATCATCCTGTATTTGTACCAATATTTATAGATTTAACGTCACTCATTAACTTTTTTCATATATTTATAAGGTCAATCCTTAAAGCGTGGGTTCACAACACGTATAAACTAATTTTTTACATATATTTGTGTGCATAAAAACACAAAAAAGAATACAAAAATAGTAGAAGTAGAATTTAAACTTAGCATATGAACCATTTTAAAAATCTTTTGTTGTTTTTTCTTTTATTGCGTTCATTGATCCTGCATCATATCACGGATTTCATACAACTCTTGCGTAAATTTCACCAAGGAATCTACGTACTTATCGTTGGTGCAAATCACAGCATCAACAGTATTATATTATTTTAAATTTTCCCTCTCTAAAATTAATTCCTAGATCCATTCCTAACAGGGGTTTTTTGATAATTTGAAAGTGAGAGTTTTCTTGCTAATATTAGAAAAAATTTAGGAAAAATGGTTTTGCTTCATGTGCAAAAACAACTTCTTAAATCCTAAAAGAAACAGATATCAACGCATAGCTTAATTAAGTAAAATCTTAAGGAAGGGTAGTAATATTGACGTGGGGGTCACCATAATTCCCAAATTATGGGGGTGTTTAAAATGATAGCAAACGAAATTAAACCATATAAAAAAGAGATTATGTAAAAATAGCAACATAAATATAGAAGAAAGTGAGATTTCAATTAATTTAATTTTGGAACGTTATGTGTTATATATTGAAGAGTAAGGTATAATGTTGAAATTAATTTAGGGATTATCTAAATTTTGAGTAACAATTTAATATAATGTTTATAAATATGACAGCCCTTTAAATAAAAGTTGGGGCTTGTATACTTGCTCATTGGCAAAAAGCTTGGGCCCAAGTCCATACATACATTCTATTGATTTATACAATTTTTTTCATATAAATGCAATAACCTAAAAGCATACATAAGTGAAGGAGATATAAATGAATAATAATATTATAATCACATAATAATGATAGATTGATTTTTATATAAGAACATTTATTCAAATAATTTGTATGTGAGACGAAGGACTAATTTCATATTCCTCTCGCGATCATTTATTTTGAGGGTTTCCAAGATTTTCTAGAATAACCCTTTTAATAGTATTAAAAACTCGATGTAAAAATATTAAAAAAAAACCCTATAATAAGAGATTTTGGATGGTTTTCGAAAATAATGGATAATTTAAATGAAACGATCTTATTATAAGATAACATAAATTAACCCATAAACAAATACACAAATTATATGAGGAAAAAAAATCACAAATTGATCAACTCCAAAAACAAATAAAATGAACACAAACTAATCAACACAAATCAAGAGAAGAATGGCAATCACAAATTTCTCTCATTTTATCGACAAATCAACATATTATTTTGATTAAGGTCACTAGTTATGTTTGAGGGTGATCAAGAGAATTCAAGCTCTTTTGCCTTTTAGGTTATGGTCAGGGACGTAGTCATGATTTTTAGTGAGTGGATTCAAAACATATAAGTTATGGTTTTAAAATATCAAGCAATTAACCCAAATATTTGTATGTAGCTGTGTGCCTGGTTGTGGTTCATCGTCAATTTCATTGTCAAGACTTTGCTTAGTTACAACAACATCCATTTCCAAGGCAACAAATTCTTGGTGGCATTTGATCAAATTCCTAGAATTAGAGCTACTGCCTTGTTCTGTTGGATGATCATGAAATTCCACACCTCTTGACTGTCATTTGTCTAGGCTCCTTTAATTTTACTTCAAAGCTTTATGTTTGTGGTTATAAAGAAATTAAAGTAATTTTTATTCAATTAGAATTAAGAATAAAGTATGAGACAAAATCAATCAAATTATCATACAATTATGAATTAATTTGTTTATGGAATCCCATATTAACGGAAGAAAACCCTAGTTTCCTATCCGTTAAAACAAAAACTTGATATCACAAATTCTCATTGAGGAAATTGTATGGTTTATTGTTAATTTTAATTTTTTAAATCTATCAATATAAAGTTTTGAAGTAAAAACGTGGGAAAAGAAGAAGAATATTTATTACAATTATATCTTTGGCTTAAAATTGAAGATGGGGGTTAAAGATGAAAATAGTAGTGGGTGATTTCCCAATGTAAATCATAATTTAAAATTTTAACAAAAGGTCACGATTGGTAATGAGCTTGGCCCAAGGGACTCTCAGCCCAAGCCCACAACATTGTAAATCATATTTAGTTGCATCAAGTCGTAAGTAATCATTTGATGAGGCACATATCAAAATAACTGAAATTATTAGGCATGTAATTTCAACCTAGATGAAAACATATAGCAGGTAAAAGAATCCAACAACTGCTATATATAGTCTATAAGAGTGAGCCATAAGGTAATATTCACATAATTTCCTTCAGAATAGAGATGTGATCATCTGAAATTCAGAATTATTTAAACTACTTAACTAGAAAGAGCCCTTCAATCACATGCACTTCAACCAAAGATTCCACCATCAATGTCAATTTCAGGAACGACCTGCTAAGAGCTCAGCATGAAGGCGGCTGTGATCATTAAATATACATAAATAAATAACACGTTGAGTTCACTAATAATCATTTTATTAGAATAAAATTTTAAAATATCTTGAAACTTTTGATTATGTTAAATATTAAAAACGAATTTATATGCTTACTTGTTCATTACCCTTCAAGGTGATCAAGAGAATTCTGAGTTTTTCTGTCTTTTGGGTTGTGGTTCCTCACCGATTCCACTAGTTTCTGCTCCATCATATTCAAAAAGGCTTCGCTTAGTTGCAGCAGCATCCATTTCTGATGTAACAAAATCTTGGTGATATTCAATCAAATTATTCCCAGAAATAGAGCTACTGCATTGTTCTGTTGGATGGTCAAACTCGACCAATTCTTCTTCATATATCGGATGGGCCGCACACCTACTCACAGTCATTGCTGGGCACTCTGATGTGTCAAATTCAAACTCAAAAAAATATTTGTGCGGCACAGTGGGGAAGAGGCGGATTGGGATATAGATTAGCCAAAGATGGTCTGATACAGTACCCTGGACAAAATTATCTTCAGCTGTAAGATCGAACACGTAAGGATTTTCCCCTTCTTGATTGACTTGAAAACGAAGGTAAGCATAATCTTTGAGGGCAGGAAAATGCTTCCGGGCAAACAGAACAGCGGTCACAAAGAATACCTTCAACTTCATGTCTGGAAGACATTTTATTCTTATTGAAGAACCCTCACTCTGATGGCTGAACCACTTCGGAACTTCAGTTCCAGGGATAACAATGCTGGTTAACTCAAGTATTGGATTGGGCAGTTCCTGTAAAAATAAAAATAGAAGATAGATAAAATCGTACATTGAATATCTTTAACTCAAGAGAAAGAGAGAGAGAGAGAGAGAGAGAGAGAGAGAGAGAGAAAAGGGGAAAAGGAAAAGAGAGAGACCTTTGGTGTTGATGCCACACTGGTTTTGTAGTCACTCAATTTCAAGCAATTCACGCAAGAAATGCATTCTGCACGATATGGTATCATGCCCGATAGTAATGCATTTGGTAATATTTCTAGCGAAGTACAATAATCTACTTCAAGGAGATGTAAATTGGGTGGAAGTTCTGGCAATGATTGAAGCCCATGACAATTATCCAAATGAAGATTCCTAAGCTTAGAAAGACGATTGATGCTGCTAGGAAGTGACACAAAATTGTTCTTTCCTAGATGTAGATATTGCAATGAAATTAAGTTGCCAACTTCTCCGGGGATTGCTCCTAGATTGCAGTCACTGAGATCTAAACTTGTCAATGAAGGCAAACCTGACAGTGACGGCAACTTCAAAGTGATGATGGGATCTGATCTTCTGCCTGACATCAAATTGAATGGGAAGGGCAAATACCATGAGTTTGATGGCGGTCC